AAAAAGAAAGTGGCCTCTATACCTCGGGTTAGTTTTCCATTAGAGCACGCACAGAATCCTGGTTTGTTGTTGTTAATTTAAACAAGCATCAAATTGAGTCTTTTATTTATTTATTTATTTTTTGGACTGGGAATCAAACTCAGTACCTCACGCTTGCCAGGCAGGTGCCATGAGGCTGAGCGATATCCCTGACCCAAATCCAACCGCTTTGCCAGAATTAATTCTAAATAGCTGAAGTGTTCTAAGTTCTCTTTAAAAGAAGATCAAACATTATGTAGAAGGAAACACAATGTTCCGCACCATACTTCTGGGAACTTAGCAAATTCAACAGACCGTAGGAAGGAGAAATGGGCATCTCTTCCTGGAAGCTGCTGGACCCTCGGCAGCTCTTTCCTAATGACTGACGCAGTAGCCTTACAATATTAATACTAACTTTCACTGGGAAAGTTTTCACACTTGGATGAAAAGAAGCAATTTCTCCATTCCCTGTGATGTTTCCATGCATTGGGCATAAGGTCCTGCCAAACTTCCTTTTATTTTGTGTTTAGAAGGGTAATGTTATTCCCAGTGAAATAAAGGGCCCTTTCAAAAGCAAACCATCGTGGTGAGCTCAAAGAATCCTCTCTGTTTTGAAATCTAGGATGTCAAAGATTCTAAGTTATGAAATTAACTGATTAAATTTGTCTCATTTAAGGAAAAAAAATTGAATCTTTTCCTTAACCACAAGGGAAAAACTTAGTAAAAAAAAAGAAAGCACATTAGCTGCTCAGAGATGGAACTTAAACCAAATAAAATAAATAGAAACACAGATTACTTTTCCAATGTCTTTCAAAGGAAACAGGACTTAGGGAAAGGACTATTTATGAACGTAATGAGGAAGGACTGAGAGCCAGAAACAGAAAATGGGAGAAACCTAACCTTCCCGTAGGTGTGGACTTACACAAGTACTAAATGTGATATTTAGAAAGGTTTTGGTTTCAGGAGAATTCAGTTTCCAGATTTTCTTTCAAGTTTCAGAAAAATGACTTTAGTATGTAAGGAGGGAAAAAAAAACCACCTTAGCTGTCGTCTTTTTTACTCTGAGGAATTTAAAACTCTCTGTGTTCTCAAATGAAATTTCTTTCATTTAAGATCAAATGCACCAGTTCCCTCAACAAAGGTATCTTCCCCTTGTGATGGAAGCAGATGGGAAAATAGGATTTGCCACAGAAATGCACCTCACCTCCTTCCCAGGGCATGCCTTCCCTGGGGGCACCCTGGAAAGAGGAGGTTCCAGCTGCCCTGCCCTGGAGTTCAGTAAGCAGCCAAGAGAAACTACCCCCGTGCTTGTGCTCCCTGTTGCTACAAAGAGCTGGAGTCACTTGCTGGAGTGGAGGGAACAGAAGCAGGGGATCACCTTGCCGACCAGGGACTCATCTCTCTTCCCTGCTGACATATAATCAGAGTCAGTAAGAGTTGATTTCAAATTAATTCCAGTTCCTCAGGGCATAGAGCAGTGTAGTTTGGGGCCAACTTTCCATTTCCATTTAATCTTTTACTTAAGGACATAACCTTTATAAAAGAACTTTCCATCGCTCCAGTCTGGGAAAAGCACTTGGTTTGAGTCAGACTGCTTCCAGAAACCATAACATGAAAGATTCTTCCTCCCACCTAACCTTCATTTGACTTTATCTTTTCACTTCACTGACACTCTTCATGTGGTTTATTTCCACTGTTCTTTAAGAAAAGTAGCCAGGCAGAGTGGTGCACACCTGTAATCCCAGCAATCTTGAGGCTGAAGTAGAAAGGTGGCTGTGAGTTTGAGCCCAGCCTGACCTAAATAGTGAGCTCAACGCCAATCTGAACTGTATGAAAAGACACTTCTCAAAAAAAAAAAAAAAGTAAT